GCAAGTGAAGGACCACTGGCCCCACTGGTGGACCTCCTGATGGCACTGGTATTTCTGGCCACTGTGTGACACAGAGTGTTGGACTGGATGGGCCTTTGGCCTGATCCGACATTGGCATCTCTTATGTTCTTAAGGAGTGGGGATTCAAACCCGGTTCTCCCAGGTTAGAGTCCGCGCACTTAACCACTACACCAAACTGGCTCCTATATCAAACTGAGAGCTGACTTCCCTTTTATGTAGTGGATATGTCAACTTCTACTGATGTCACCTGGCAAACACTGTAAAAAAAGGGTCGTATCAAAACATGGGGGAATGTGATGAATAAATACTGCAGACTACAGTGGGCTGTGGTTCGCTGGTGAGCACACCCTATGACTTAGATCCATAGCAGCATGTTTGCCCATGGATAATGATCTTTGTTCCACCCACCCACCCCCGGCAACCAGAAATGCTTCCCAAATTCTTTTTCCTGGGGGACTGGGCACCTCCTGGCACTGGGTTTCCAGATCATTTCAGGATGCTGTGGGAGGGATGAGTTTAGAAAGTTGTGCTCCATGGGTAGAAATCCTGGCATCCACTGAAACACTGCTCTGGATACAATCCTATGTGTTTACATATCTTCTTTTAGTACTTCATGGAGTGCAGTGTGGCAATTATCAACGTATACACAGTGCAGAATTCCCAGAGTTAATATATACAGAGAAACAAGAACAATACTTTTAGAGAAAGAAAGAGCTTCTAATACAAGCTTCCCCCACATATCCTCATGGTGTTTTATGGGGATAAACTGCTTGGAATTGGAAATTGCTACATTACATGCCTAAGGGCATGAAAATATGGAAGAAATCTTGTTGTGAAGTGTTGCTTTTTTATCCTCAACACTGTCAGGTTCTTTGGCATATTATGTATTTTTCTTCAAGCTAGAGTATTTTTGATAGAACTTTTTATAAATTAAGCTTAGTGCAACATCAGGATTTTAGGAACTGAATCCCCAGAGATGAGGAAAATAAAGCAAACTCTCCACAGAAGATAACTCTGCATTGATTTTTATGTTGACATTTCTCTATCATCATTACTAAGCTGGTGACAGTGTGAAGGGCACAATTATTTATGTTCCATCAAATTAGTCAGTAATTCAAATCCCTGACGAAATCTCCAGCCAAGACAGCTCCCACTCCTGCAGAACGGATTTCTGACATTAAAGATCCTTGCTAATCACCAGAAGGGCAGGCAAAAGTGAGAAAACTCTGAAGAGAAGCGATGGCCACAAGATCATCACTACTTACTAGCACTTTGAACCGTTTCACGCAAATCCTTGCTGAAAGTTACTCTGTCTAAACAACACACAGATGCGGCAATTTATGCTGGTATTTATCAGATGGGTCCAATTGGAGGAATTCAGTCACTTGACAAGCTAAAGAGGCTGTGGTGATCAGCGTGTCTCCCATGGAACCTCATACTCCAAGGGAGCCCTAGAATTTATATTGCTTCCATGGTTTACCATGGTAGGGACAGCTGGATTGATGCTACGAGATAAGTGTGTTTGCGTAGTTATCTTGTAAGATTTCTTCAAGTGTTGGGAACACTTTACATAAAGATGAACCAAACCACCGTAGCTAAGGGAGCAGAATATGGGGAAAGCAGCAGAATTCATAAAACTTTCATATGCTGCGGTCACACGGAACATTAGCCACGCAAGAGAGACGGAAGACAGGCGGATTTTCCGGGCGCGATCTCACTGGCACATCTGGGAAGCGTAGCGCTTCCGTGGCACAACCGAGGCTTCCCACCGAAAATGCGCAGCAAAAAACTAGTACCTCGGAGGTAGTTTCCGGAAACCGCGGGGCAAGGGCGGGCGTCTGATCGCGTTTCCGGTAGCATCCGGCGCCCGCCCATGTCCCCTTGTGAAAAAGGTTCCCCCCCAAGTCTCCGTGGATGCACACACGCACCTAATGGAGCATGCGCATTTGTCGTGTACAAAAAAGAAGAAAACCAGTTTGCCGCACCGCGCACATCTTCGTTGCGCGCAGGCGTGTCCTGTGAACGGCACCTCTCCCTACCCACAGAAGCTCCACGGTACCTCCACAAGACCTCCTGATCACTTAACCACGCATTAGTTTGCCCCGGGGCAAACAGCCACGCTTCCCCCCCCCCCGCAGTTTCCTGCCCATGTGACCGGAGCCATAGAATGGGTAGTCTGTCTTTTAACATGACATGCTGGGCTATAAAGACCCATAAACAATGATTTTTAACACTTGCTATATTGTGGCTCTTGGTAATAGTATGCTTGTCTTTGGGACACACACTATATTTTCTAACATCATGAACAAAATCCAGGAGGCCACTTGGAATGTTTCCAGGAGAAACTCAATTCCTTCTGGGTAGAGGTGAACTGAAGGCAGTGGCTGAAGGGAAAGGGGGGAAAGGATTAGATTTGCGTATGCTCCATTCCACTTAGGCATGTGCCAGTCAAGACATCACTGTTCAGGAATAAAGGCCTCTAGGTAGTGGCTCCTCCACACATGAAAGATGCTCACCAGATTCAGCTCTGAACTCTTTGATCTAACAGGAGTAGGTATGCAGCCACTAATAAATTTAAATCTGAAAATAAATAATCTCTTCAACAATGCAAGCAGCTGGTTCTTTTGCATTTTCCTCTATTATTTGTGCCATGGTTCCACACGCACACATGATCTCATGAAACTGCCTTATGACCACTGGGTCAGTATTGTTTACTGTGGCTGACAGTGGCCTCAGGTGGAGGACTTCCACATCATCTACTGCCTGACCATTTTAACTGGCAATGTCAGGGCTTGAATCTGAGACCTTCTGCAAGCGAACAAGATTATTAAGCTAGACTGACTCACCCCAGGCCTTTGGGGCAAGGGGGAAATGAAATCTCTCTTATTCTACATACGTAAATTCAAAAACTACACACAATGAGACGCACGGCATATATCTTTCACAAAGTGCTTTCCTGTGTTACAAACTGCAGTCGTACTAAGGTCAGTTATCTAGTTACTTTTAAATGTTGAATTCGTAATAATACTGATTTGAGAAAAGCAACCTGACTTCTGCATGTTCTTTTCACAGGCACAGGATTCTCTAGCTATGTGTGGAGCTGAAGTAACTGAACCACGGATCACAAAGCTCAACAGTCAGTTATATGGAGGAACAAAGGTTTTTCTGCGGCAAACAAGGATATCTACCTCCCACTCTTCATCATCAAACCTTTGAATGCTTCCATGTTGCAAAGAAAATAAAGTTTCCTTCTTTCCTGTTTTCAATTTTTTATTTGAAAGCAGGTTTTTCAAATGCATCCCACCTACTTCAACTACTTCAAATGTGAGCACTACTCAGGAGGGACAAGAAATGTAGGTCTCTTGCCCCACCCAGATTCTGCTGTGCATAGGCAGTTCCAGGACTGAAACAAATCATTATTATGTGAGGAGGGAAACACATATACCAGAGAACAACATCGTTATTTACTAGACAATTGTTTTGGAGGAGATGAAGCATTCCT